ATAAACATCTTCCCGTATGCGTTAACGGCTAACGGCAACCAATCACTCAACAACTTGCAATCTGGCAATGCTGTGTTAACACACGCTCAACCGGCTTATATACCGCATTTCCTGCTAACAGACAGTAAGCTCATTAGATGGCAATGAAGCTAACACCAGCCAATTAACCAGTCTCGTCGCCGTGGTCCAGTCTGCTTGCAATTATTATCAAGGCATTCACAATAGTTAACAGCGCCATGTCTACTACCAATGCTTGCCGCACGCACACGCTTACGCACACTTAGACACACATCTATACACTCACGCGCACAGGCACTCCTATATGTCAAATGTCAAAGTTAAAATGTTAAATGTCATATGTCAAATGTCAAGGCTCCTTACCTTTTACCCCTACCCCTACCCCTACCGCTAAGCTTGACCCTGACCCTAACTCTAACCCTGACCTTAGCTTAGCGGGCGACTGCCACTTTTCGCTGACCACCAGACCAACGCCACTTGATATAGATATTAAAGTATAATCTTACACGTCAATGTGATCAATATACCTTAACAGTGCCTGGTAGTCATAAATTTTTGATAGCTCACACACACACACACACACACACACACACACACACACACACACACACAGACACACCAAGACAGAAATACAAATACACACGCGCGCACCGCCCCCTCCCCCCCCCCTCCGTCCACAGAGAGGGAGAGAGGGAGAGTGCGAGGAAGAGAGAGACGCAGGCACGCGCATAATATACCAATATAATAGTCAAATATATTATTTCACAGACGAGAACCGGGGTTTTCACAAATACGGCTGGACTCCTGGTAGCACTCCATCAGACTATTCCAATTTACATAACTACACATCGATATTCTCGGGGATACTATAGATTTCACACCACGTAGTATTTCACAGGCTTCAAAAACTTGCAAAATAACCGAGCCTGTGTGCGAACTAACTTAATGAAAAGTTATTTACCTTGGTTGAATGTACACATTGACTGAAAGTCTTCCCTGATTTGAAGTCCACTCTGGCTGAATTTTCACCCTGGCTGTGTGTCAAGCGTTACTGCATTTCTGGCATTGTTGTGCCTCAACTCTAGTTTAACGCCTAACGTTGATGTTTGTCCATCCTGGTTGTATGTCCAGGCGTAGCATAGCGACGGCCTCTTATCAAGCTATGAAATTGTAGCAGACGCTCAAACGCTCTATA